AGCACATGACCCTGAGAGCAGACCTCGAGTGTAATATTTGCTCTGTTATCATGAACCTTGAATAAGAAGAAGGTTGTTCATGGACATTCTAAGTTGGCTGGTACAGGATTACGTACACCTTTGCTAAACGAACTGAATAATGCAACTTCACTCATCTCCGTGCTTGCAGTGCTGTATTTTCTATACAATGTGTGTGCTAAAACATTGTTCTTTTATTAAGTAAGACATTAACTTCATCCCTTAAATAGATGACTGGTATTATGTAATATTAGATGAATGTGAGAATTAGTCTTTTTATGTAAGATTAAATTGTTGTATAGAATATCTGGATACCCAAATGTATCCTTTAATTGAAACTCCAAATGGTTTGTGTTGAAAGTTTGGTGACTTAAAAGAAAAAATTGAGTTAACATTGTCTTGTGGTATAAAGTAGGTCTTCTAACAGAGCTAATTAGCATTTAAAGAAGTCTCCTTAGAAGAAGCGATAAGATTATTTAAAAAAAAACTGAATGAAGAAGAAGTAATACATATACTCAGGAGAGATTTCATATGTTCAAATTATGAATCTACTTGCTATTGTAAAATGTGAAAAATAGTCGATACAATCATTGGTTGTATTTTTTTTTAAACAAGGGCTACATTTCTAATACCTTTTAGAAAACTAATTTATTAACTTATATAATTCAAATGTAAATTTCCCATAAAAATAAATACATGAGATTTACATTTTTCAAATTTTGCTGATAAACTTTATCACATTTAATGTTGACATAAACCAAAACAGCACAAACTGCAATCTCACTATGTTTTACTTTAAAGATAATAAAGGTAGGCCGGGCGTGGTGGCTCACACCTGTAATCCCAGCACTTTGGGGGGCTGAGGTGGGCGGATCATGAGGTCAAGAGATTGAGACCATCCTGGCCAACATGGTGAAACTCCGTCTCTACTAAAAAATACAAAAATTAGCTGGGTGTGGTGGCATGCGCCTGTACTCCCAGCTACTCGGGAGGCTGAGGTGGGAGAGTTGCTTGAACCCAGAAGGCGGAGATTATAGTGAGCCGAGATTGTGCCACTGCACTCCAGCCTGGTGACAGAGCAAGACTCTGTCTCAAAAAAAAAATAATAAAGAGTTACTATCTGTCACTGGTTAGTTGCTGCTAAGCACAGGCTGTGAGGATTAACAACTAAGGAAATCCCCTTATACATGTAGGCCATGACGTCAGATGATCTAGACTATAAATAGGCAAACTTTCTGATGTCATTAATAAGGAAGAGGAGAAGGCACCTCTCCTGTCTTGTTTACTCCCACTATGCATATGTTCTTTAGAGAGCAAATTACTGAATAATACGGAAAAGGAAAAAATTAAGGTGAGTAACAGAATTGTTTAACATAAACTCATTATACATTCAATATTAAGAGTATAATTATATTCTGTGTTCATGTTTGAAATAATTTTTAGAATTGGGTGGCTTTTTTCTAGACTTTTGAAGTTATATAGCTATAAGTTGGATGCCTTCTTATCACAATTTATTCTTGCCGAAGGAAAGTAGATCGTAATTTACAAAGACACATTCAGTAATGGTATATAAACCATGTATGTGGTGATGTACAGTTAGAAACTCATGCTTTCTAAACCTGTCTCCACCTATTCAGAACAGTGTGCCTCCTACTGACCCATTTTGTTTTTTAACTTGAGCCTGTTGTCAATTTTGTCACGAAACTCCCAAGTCATGTGGACAAATCCATTTATGATTCTAGTTGAGGTCCCTTCTTTGTTAAAGGTTTTCATTTTTTGCAAAATGTTCGTAAATTTGAGTTTGTTTTGTCTGATAGGAGTACCCTAATCATGCATTACTGTAGTGCCTGAAAGGAAACACAGTACACAATTTTTTTTTTCCAATGAGAAACTCTAGGAAACAATGAAACCTGTTGTTTAAACAACAAAATATTTGGATGGAATATCAAATTGATTATGTGTTACATGTATGTTGTTTGCTTTGTTTAGAATTACTAAAGATGATTTTCAAAGTGTCATGCTGTTGATAGAAAAAACTTAGGTTGTTGGTCATAGTCATCTGTGGTTTCTTAAAGTGCACAGCTATCTCATCAAGTTAATGAATATAAGCAAAACTCTCTCAGTGATATAGAATTCATTTTGCTTTTGAGATAAAATTTTTATATTTTATAGCTTTTTATTTTTATTATTTTTATTTTTTATTTTTGAGACGGAGTTTCGCTCTTGTTACCCAGGCTGGAGTGTAATGGCGCGATCTCGGCTCACCACAACCTCCACCTCTGGGTTCAGGCAATTCTCCCACCTCAGCCTCCCGAGTAGCTGGGATTACAGGCAGGCGCCACCATGCCCAGCTGATTTTTTTGTATTTTTAGTAGAGACGGGGTTTCACCATGTTGACCAGGATGGTCTCGATCTCTTGACCTCGTGATCCACCCGCCTCGGCCTCCCAAAGTGCTGGGATTACAGGTGTGAGCCACCGTGCCCGGCCTATATTTTCTAGCTTTTTAAAAAGAAAAGTGGTAGAAGGCAATTAGCAAAATATTACAAGAGTAACATGAATGGTGCTTATGAAATTGAGGACAAAATATAGAACATAGTGATCTTTTTGTGAGATTAGTACAGTAAACATACATTATTTTTATTTTAGGATCAAAAATATATGTGTAAATTAGGATTTTAGCTCCTATATCTTGATATTCATAATAACTAGGCCACACCTGTAATACCAGAATTCTTGTGCTATAAAAGTTGTTTTAATGGCTTTGATATCGAACGGCTATTTTTGAACAAAGTCTTTGCTACGACGTTGAGTTGTACTGACCATCACTGTTACTTGGCGTGTTATATATGCCATTGTTTCTAGGTGCACCTGTTTCCTCAGGGAAAGTTTGTATAAATGAGACTACTGTATATTTCTTTGTCATTTCCTTTTCTTGTTTCAGAGAGCAAGAATTGCAAGGGATTTTACAGTGTTTATACATGAAATCAGCTACGTTTCTATGGTACTGAATGATGGTGTTGCGAGGACCAGTAGTAGTATTTCGTTTGTTTAAACTAGGCAGATGAAAACATTGTTTACTTTTCAGAATATGGGTAATCTTGCTTTGTTTGAAAAGATTTAATATAGTTATACAGATCACGAAAGCATAATTATAATGAATTAGTCTTTAGTATGCATATATCTAATGGCTTTCTTTTGATGAGTTAGTGGTTTTTTTAGTAGATGTAATTTCAGAGAAAATATTTATTTATTTATTTATTTTCTTTTTGCCAATCAGTTTGAGCTTATGAGGTTGCTCAGGTTAGCCTTGAACTGATGACCTTGCCTTCGTGAGCGCCATGACCTCCGGCGGGAGCAGAGAAAATATTTATAAAAGGTTCACGCAATTTATTGTGGGTGGGTTTTTGTTTTTGCTTTTGTTTTCAATTTGTCACTCTAAATAGAATTTTAAGATCTTAGATTGGTGTTTCACTGGTGCTGGGCACACAGGGCATACAGTAACAGAATGGCATAGGATAAAGGAAATGGGTCTTTGAAATGAACTTCCCTGGGTTTTAAACCAAGGTCTGCACTTTACTAACTGAAGATGAATTAACTCATTTCTCAGGAATTTATGCCTTGTCTATAAATTATACACAAAGTAACAACTCACAGTGTTGTGGTAATAATTAGCTTGATGTATATATAGTCTCCTGTACATTGTACCTTAGTAAATTCCATTATTTATGTTTTTATGGGTGCTTCAGAAGTGCTCATTTGTTGACCAAAGACCCCGAAAGAGAAAGAGAGAACAAGGTAACATTTGGGATTTTTTTATGGGTAGTTGATGAATATTATAAAATAATAAACTGTTGGTTCTTTGAATGCAGGGATTGTACTTATTTCTTTACCCAAAGCCAGCATAGGTGCTTAATAAATTTTTGCTGTGGGGGTACATGTGGCAAAACTCATGTTTCTTTCTCTCCTGGTTTAGAGTTCTTTCCTGTGCATTGCTTCCTTTAACTTTGTGCAATTACTCTTTGTAAAATTGAGACAAGGGCTCACTGTGTTGCCCAGGCTGGTCTCAAACACCTGAGCTCAAGTAATCCACCTGCCGCGGCTGCCACAAGTGCTGGGATTACAGGCATGAGCCACTGCATTTTTCCCAATTACTCTTAAATAAGCCAATTTTAATTAATCTGTAATTTGACCTTTTTCACAAACAGGAATATAAAATATATTCTTATTTGCTGATGATTGGGGAAAATATATATAAAATGACTTATTTGGGAGAACTGTCAAACCACCAGTCTGAAAGTAAAAGGCAAATATCTCTGTGATGCATGGGAAGAAGAAAATGATTTTCATGGAATATAGATGTTTAACAACCCTACAGGTTCGTTTTGTTTTTGTTTTTTGAGATGGAGTCTCACTCTTGTTGCCCAGGCTGGAGTGTAAAGACAGGATCTTGGCTCACCTCAACCACCACCTCCTGGGTTCAAGCGATTCTCCTGCCTCAGCCTCCTGAGTAGTTGGGATTACAGGCATGCGCCATCATACCCGGCTATTTTTTTTTGCATTTTTAAAGAGATAGGGTTTCTCCATGTTGGTCAGGCTGGTCTCAAACTCCCAACCTCAGGTGATTTGCCCACTTCAGCCTCCCAAAGTGCTGGGATTATAAGCGTGAGCCATCACGCCCGTCCAAGTTGGTTATTTGTATACATTGCTAGAAGACAACCTGATTGTTGAATGGCTAAGGATAATTTATTCTGTGTGCAGGTTCTTATTTTCTATGAATCAGGGTCAAATGGTGAAACGAACTGTTATTTCACATTAAATACATCAAACATTCTAACCCAGCATACTTTTAAGAAATGAGATACTTTTTTCAAAATTAGGAAAATATTTGAACACATGATAGAGTATATGTGTATCTGAAAGAGAAATCATTCATTCAACCATGTTTTATTGAGCATCTTCTTTGTTCCATTAAATATTCTAGATACTTCAAGATCCAGCATGAAACCAGAGTGTTAAGGTGCCTGAACTCAGTCAGCTTCCATTCACTAATATGAACTTGCTAATCTGAATTAATCACTACTCAGAACTGTGAACATTTACAGTAAGCCATTTGCCTATTGTTGCTTGTATGGAAATATTTAGTGTGTAAACAGATTTCTTTGCTTAGTGTGCCATCGTGTGCTTGCAGTAAAAACTTACCTAAAAATAGTTAAGGAATTAGGAAGGCCAGTGCTTTCATGGAGATTTTTAGATATGTCTTTTGTCTATATATATTACTTGTCTTTAAATTTCATTGTGATTTTTAAATTCTGATGATAGTAATAAAATTTACAGGTTTTTAAAATTTCTTTTTATCAAATTATTTACTAAGTGATAAATGATAGGAGGGATTTAGCTAATAGACATAAGATGGTTCTGGATCATTTCTTCCCCAGATAAGAATCCCCAAATAAGAGGGATTATTTCTATAGAAGAATAAAAATAGTTTCTGGAAGCTATGCTTATATATTTATATCTTAGTTCAAAGGTGTCCAATCTTTTGGCTTTCCTGAGCCACATTGGAAGAAGAAGAATTGTCTTGGGCCACACATTAAATATAAAATACACTAACACTAACGATAGCTGATGAGAAGAAAAAATCTCATAATGTTTTAAGTAAGTTTACAAATATGTGTTGGGCTGCATTCAAAACCGTACTGGGCTGCATGTGGCCTGAAGGCCACAGGTTGGACAAACTTAGCTTATAATATTATTTTATTGAGAGAATCATTTGTATTATTTCTGGTGCATATTATCTGATTCACAGTCTTCTTATTTTCTACTGCATTACTTACAAATTGTGTAATAAATTAAGGAGTAACAGATGGTTTCTTTTGCTTGGCCTGCACGTATTTGGATCAACTAAAAAAAAAAACAAGTTGTAGGTCATGATTTCTTAAGGGTTTGTTAGTGTATGGATCAAAGTTCTCCAGCAATGCTGTATCTAGTAATCTGTAGAAGTTCTTAAACTTCAGTCAACAAACTTGTTCAAATAAAAATTTCAATCCCTCAGTAATACATGCTGAATGTCTGTTCTTTGTACTGTTCGGGGCTAGGACCAGTAAATTACTCTCTTTTACCTGCTCATGCCAGTTATATTTCTTCAAAATTTTGTTTTACTATTTCTTAACCTGTTAAGGCCTGTTTTTACAATTTCTTATTTTAATAATGTGATTTAAAAAAATACTATATACATACAATGCAAAAACAGAAAAAGCTGTTTCCATAAAAGCAAAATTAAATACTTCAGAAAGAATCTTTGGTAAGCTATCTACCCTCACCAAAAAATTATGCTATTGAGTTATAATTGAATGAGACAACTAAAATAATGAAATAAAAATATGAAATAAATGAATTTACATGTAAATTATTTTGCAGATGTATTGAAATCTTTCATTTACTTAGAAAAGGAGAACATCAAAGGCAAGCCTTTGTATGCTGTGTTTTCAAGAAGGACAGGATGAAAATCACATCAGTGGGTCCATTTGCAAAAATAAAGCTTTCACTCTACATCAAAGAGCAGTGAGTGAATTTACATCTCTGCATTTTAAGTTAGAATGTGTGAGGTTATATGAACTTTTGATTTCCCAGTTTACCTGACCTTTTAAAAACCTGACTAGAAATATTAGAGGGTTTTGTTATATTTGCCTCTGTTTTTGATCATTTTTCTAAATCATTAATACCAAACTATTTTCCATAAGCTAATGCTAGTATCTCTTCTTTGTGTTTCAAAACTCTAGTGCTTATTACAAAAAATGAACTTATTTAAATATGTGAGAAAAAAATTAAAAAATATTCATGCAGTTTTATAATTGAGTTTAAAAGTGTACTTTTGAACTGTCCATTGTTGTATAAACAACATTTGGAATAGAATTCCATCCTTCTCTGTGTTTAGGTAGTGAAACCAGTACATAAATTAAACACAATTATGCTGTGTTCATTGTACCAACTTTATATACGTTAGTTTATGCATTATCCTTATGATATACTCAACATTTATACTAACCTATTGATCTGTAGTTGAAAAAATGGCTTAATGGAAAAACAGAGGCTTATATATGTTCTTAAACTGTTTTAATCATAATCAAAATATTTCTTGGATAATTAATTTTGTGTCCGAGGCTGTATTTTTGTGTAATACAGGTGTGGCTTATAGTGCTTCAATATTTGTTGGTTTTTCACGAGTAAATTATAATTTTAAATGCCAGTGGCATTAAACTATTTCCATGTGCACTGAGGAATGCAGGAGGAATCAGAGTACTAGGAACATACTATTTTATGCTGTGAAGTCTTAACAAGAATGACATCCTGTATTAGTTAGTTCTCGAACTACTATAAAGAAATACCTGAGACTGGATAATTTAGAAAGAAAAGAGGTTTAATTGTCTCACAGTTCTGTAGGCTGTAGAGAAAGCATGATGCTGGCATCTGCTCAGATTCTAGGGAGGCCTCAGGAAATTTACAATCATAGCAGAGGCAAGTGGGAGCCAGCACTTCAGATTGCTGGAGCAGGAGGAAGAGCAAAAGGGAAGAGGTGCCACATACTTTTAAATGACCAGAACTCACAGGAACTCACTATTGCAAGAATGGCACTAAGGGGAAATCTGCCACCATGATCCATTCACCTCCCACCTGGCTTCACCTCCAATACATTGAATTGGGGAATACAATTCAATGTGAGACTGGAGCAGGGACAGAGAACCAAACCATAACACATACCAAAAAGGGTATATGCACAGACTTCTGTGTGAGTGTTCATAGCAGCCTTATTCTTAACAGCCAAGTAGTGGAAGCAACTCAAACATTTATTAACTGGTGAATAGATAAATAAAATGTATTCTGTTCATACAAAGGCATTCTATTAGGGAATAAAAAGTAACAAAGTATGGATGTATGCTGCAGCATGGGTAAACCGCAAGAGCTGCTTCAATGGAAGAAGCCAATCAGAACACATATTGCATGATTCCATTTATATGACATGTCCAGAAAAGCAAATATAGAGAGACAGAAAATACATTAGTGGGTGCCTGAGGCTGGGGGTTTGTTTGGGTTAGAACAGAGACATTAGAAAGAAAAAAATTATGATCTTATTTCAAGCACAAGTAAGAAATATTACAATGAAAAAAACTTCAGAGATCTTCCAGACAGCCTTTCATTTTATGGATGAAAAGGCAAAAGTGATCTTCATTTAGGAGGTCAGTATTCCTATATGTATTTTTGATCAGTTTTAGTAATTTCTTTTGTTTCTTTGTGTTTCAATTATTGTTTTGTTCATGTATACCATAGAACATAAGACTTTATGTTTTATATTAGTAATTTTCAAATAAAAAAGGAGTATTCATTACTCACTTTTCACCCAGCTTTAAAAGTCACAAACCCTTTGCCAATTTTGCCTTAGCTGTCTCCACGTTTTCCTCTTTGTTCATCTGAAGAAAATCCACACATAGCAATTTTAGTCATAAACATTTTGTTATATATCTGTCACTGATAAGGACATTTAAAAAAATATCTTTTATGGGATTGGCGTATCTAACATTTGGTGTTTATGTCACTTAAATCTCTCATTCTATACAGGTTCTTTCCCGCCCTCTTCTTTTTGTTCCTACATTTTGATTACTGGATTATTGAAACTGCAGACTATCCCACATTCAGGATCTTGCTAATTACATTCCTGTGGTTGTGTTTATATTGTTTTTCAGTCTGTTTAATTCTTTGGTTAGAGTCATAGTAAATGTTTTAGATAAGATGTGGTATTGTGTGCTTTTCGTTGCAACATGCCATGAAGCATATTATGTCCGTCCAATATTTAGTGATGCTAAATTTGAAAAGTGGATTTAAGTGGTATCCATCAGATTCATTTATTATGTTCCCAGTTAAATTCTCACCTCATGGCTTAGAGTTCATTGATGAATGATTGCTTAATGCTGTTTTTGAACAAATATTGAAACCAGTAATTTTCTAATTCTTTTATTACTTCTGCATTTTTTAAAGCTAGAATTCTTTATAGGAAATCCTTGTTCATCAAATGTTGTATTTCTGTATGTACTGTTTTTCAGGCAGTATAAATGCTTGATTAATTCTGTCCCTACATTTTTATAGTGCTGAGATGTCCTACCCTTGCAGTCTTCATAGTGACTAGTTTAGTTATTAATAACTCATGGATTTTTAAAAATAAATGTTACATTTCAATGCAATGTAGTCATTCTTTTACTGTTCAAATTATCCTACCTTAGGCCAGAAAGAGATCCTCCCAGGTGCCTGCTGAGTCCTTTTGCCATGACCTCAATAGTCTGTGATAACCTCCATGATCCTAGAACATTCTGTTTGCCAGAAAGGTCTCATATGCTTTTTTGGCTCACACCTGGACTCAGTCATTTTTTCAAGGAACCCTGGTTCCTTTGGTGGAAAATGTATTTGCAGATCTTAAGTACATGCTCTTTGCTACTGGATGGTGACTTTCAAGTGGACAGCTGGATAATATGCATTTGTTTTTTTTTTTTGAGATGGAATCTCACGCTGTCTCTCAGGCTGAAGTGCAGTGGCACAATCTCGGTGCACTGAAGCCTCTGCCTCCCGGGTTCAAGTGATTCTCCTGCCTCAGCCTTCCGAGTAGCTGGGATTACAGGTGCCTGCCATCATGCCCGGCTAATTTTTTGTATTTTTAGTAGAGATGAGGTTTCACTATGTCGGCCGGGCTAGTCTTGAACTCCTGACCTCATGATCCTCCTGCCTCAGCCTCCCAACGTGCTGAGATTACAGGCATGAGCCACTGTGCCTGGCCAATATGCATTTTTGAAAGAAAAAAATTATATTCATACGAATATATCCAGTCAAATTTAAAGTCATGGTAATTTTATTTAACTCCAATTTTATGTTTATCTCTTATCATTCAGAAAATATTGACCCCTAATAATACACATTAAGATATTTTACAATTATATGAATAATAGTTTCAAAATAATTATGTTAGCATTACTACTAATAATAAGACAACGGGTTAGTTTTAAAATTCTTAGTGTTTTTGTCTTTAGAATATATCATAGTAGGAGCATATAAAAAAGAAAAGCTAGTTGGGTGTGGTAGCTCACGCCTGATAATCTCAACACTTTGGGAGGCCAAGGCAGGAGGATTGCTTGAGGCCAGGAGTTCAAGACCACCCTGATAAACATAGTGAGATCCTATCTCTTCTAAACAAAAAAATTAGCCAGATGTGGTGGCACATGCCTCCAGCTACTCGAGAGGCTGAGGCAGGAGGATCTCTTGAGCCCAACAGGTTGAGGCTGTAAGCCAAAATTGTGCCCCTGCACTCCAGGCTGGATGATAGAGCAAGATCCTGTCTCAAACAAAAAGAAAAATAAAAGCTTTAAAAACATTTAATGGTTTTAAAGACAAAATTTCAAAATACATTTGTAGAAATCTAACTTTTTCCCTATTCTTTTCATCCCACATAGATAATTGTTTTTATTTTTGTCTTGGCGTTGTTTCTGTTATATTCCATATAGCACCTCATCCACTTTTTATCAAAGGATAGTATACTAAAGGCACTTATTTCATTTGTCACTATATTCCAGACATGAATGTCTATGATCTTTTTCATTCCTTTTCATAATTGCATAATACTTTATCAAGTGGATGTACCATAATTTGATATAGTCTACAATTCATGGTTATTTGATTTGTTTCTTGTCTTTAGTTTTCAAAAATGCTTCAAGAACTAATGTTATGCATAAGCCATAAGCTGACGTGTCTTTATGATAACGTTCTGGTGGTAGGATTATTGGGCCAGAGAGTAACTACATATTTTATTGTGTTAGTTATTACTAAATTTTTCTCTGTAGGGGAAATTTCTCCATTTTTATGTCCCACTAGCAAGGTATGAGAGTGCTTGTTTTCCCAACCTTACCAATAGGGTGCGTTGTCAAATTTTTGACATTTTTTCAAACCTGATATGTAAGAAGTATACTTTTGTGTAAAACTAAGGATTTTAAAATTGTATAGTAACTTTATCAGAAATATAACCCTTTATGCCAAGAATCAGTGACCTTTTCCTGTAAATGGCCAGACAGTAAATATTTTAGATTTTGCAGGCCTCTGTCACATAAACATAACATAACATAACATTGTCACATAAAAATAACAATTCTGTTATTGTGTGAAAGCACTCATAGATTATATGTAAACAAATGAGCATGCCTGTGTTCCAGCAAAACTTTACTTTTTTTTTAAAGGGTGATAAACTTAACTTAGCCTGTAGGCCACAGTTTGTTCACCCTTGCTTTATGCCGTTTTTAATAATACCAGCAGTTTAAAATGATCAGATACTTTTACCAGGCTACCTAGTTTGTTCTCGTATAATACACTATACATTTAATATATTGATTAAATGAGACAGCTGAGACTCAGCTCAGTACATGTTGCATTGATACTAGAATTGAAATATACTGTCTTGTAATGCAGCACTCTTTCCTAGTTCCCCACTACCTCTTCTGGTTTGTTTAGGACACTGTATATTGATTGTTTCA